CTCCTTCTCCTTCTCCTTCTCCTTCTCCTTCTCCTTCTCCTTCTCCTTCTTCTTTTTGATGGGGGGAAAGGGTTTGCTAATAAGTGTTGAAAGATAATTGGTAAGGGAAGTTTTGTAGAAAGTCTCGGAATGACTGACCAAGACCACCCTCAACCAGGAAAGTTCAATGAAGGGCCTTGACCTAGTCACATTCTTACTTTTTCAGCTCATTTTAGCTCAGTGTTATTGTTGTAAGGATAATATGATGAACTATCTTCTTGCAAATATGAAATAATCAAATTAGTAAAATTAATAAATATTAGCAGTCAATTTGGAGAATTCCAGATTTATGAAGAGGATGACTTCTATTTATGATATTGAACACTCGTGGATCAAGTATGGTTCCATGATTTCCTTTCATCCAAAAAGTGGAAGTTTTCTGTTAATAATCTTTTTCATTGACATTTTGATTTTCCAATTTCTTAGTGTATAGATGACTTCAAAATTGAGGTAATGATCATGTGTCACTGAGAAGCTTTATTTATTCATTCAGTTCATTCCCAGGCATGCAGGTGACAAACATATTTACCATATAGAAATAACTGTAGAAAGCTTCAATACAAAGGCAGAAAAACACTTTTCTAATTTTGATTTGCCATGGTTGTATTAAAAAGATTTTACTTCAGTTTATGAATAAAACATATTTTAAAGTGAGATACAACTCCTTCCAAATGAGTTATTTACTGATACTGCAATTTATCAAATATTTTCTCCAAAATAAGAAAGATGGAATTTATGAACTAGATGTGCTGTAAAGCCTAGTCTTCTGTCTATATGCTCTGGATTCCCAAGATAATCTAATGTTTCTGAAGTTGGGACAAATGTTGAGCTAAGGGGGGGGGGATTCTTTGGGGAAAAACTTGGGCTAATCAATTCTGACAGTGATTTTTATCTAAAACAAAGTTGGAGATTTCAGTCAGGGAGCTCTGAAAATTTTTCAGGAGAGACTAGTTTTGACTTCTCTAGGTGCGGGCATTTTTTACTGTTCTATATACCTCTTACACATTTATACTTAGACGATTGATATTTCCTGAATAATTCTGCCTTTCTTTATTTGTTTAATGTACAAGTCAATGTATCTAGCCACAACTGCCTTTACTGCTAAACCATCTTTTTCATATACATGCCATGACTACTCCATCATGACATATGATGGAGTCGTATCCTTTATTGTATCAATGGATGACCTTTGATTCACAAAATGTACTGTATGTCTGCACAAACCACAACATTCTCAAGGATATTGGTAAGAGGTGTATTTACAACTTTCTATGTTCAAAGTGCTGTTACAATAAAAATCAGAAAACTAGCATACATAATTTTCAAAAGCTAAGTACCCTACATTACAAAGTGTTTTCTTTCTAGACACAGATTTCTGTGTATCCTTATCTGTACCCTTTATCAGATATAAAACAATTCTTTGCCAATTATATACTCATTTCTAATTTCTGTGATAAGAAATTATTACTATATAAGAACTCTGTTGCCTAGTCTCTGGTTCTCTTTCCCCTTAAGAGCAGGAGACCAGTAACTTAGTGTAATTTGCTAACTTTAATAAAACAATTGCTGGATTCTCTCCAATTGTTGGCATAATCTTAGGTGAGTTTCTCCACCATGTCTGTTTTGTTTCAACCCTCTCCCCATTCTTTTTAAAATAACATTAAGATCAATAAAGAACTATAATGTTACCTGTTTGGATTGTTCTTGTACAAAAGCTGTAGTTTATAATGCCCGTAGAGCACTCTTATCTACAATTTATAGTACAAACAAACATGTAAAACTAAAAACCTTCTTAGTCTCATCCAACATCATAAATGAGAAGACAAGTGTTATAAAAGAGTCAAGAGTGGCGCAGTGATTAAGATAATGGATGAGGACTGGGGAGACCCATGATCCAATCCACACAGAAACACAAAAACTTTATGGGTGGCTTTGTGTTATCACTCTATCTCTATCAGCATAAATTATCTTTCAGGGTTATTCTGCTAGGAATAAAATGAAAGGATATCTGCGTGTGGGATACAAGGTGGTATAGAAATATAAGGAATGAAATGAAAGAAGAGAGCTCATTTGAGAATGACAGGTTTGGGGAGAGTATATGTCCCACTAGTGATAATGAATTATAATGGGCCAAGTATATTTTCAGCATTTACTTTCACCAGAAAGTATAAGTCTTTTTGGCCCAAATCTTTTTAATTGCCATTTTAACTTCCTGATTTCTCAGTGTATAAATAAGTGGGTTCAAAACGGGGGTAATTGTGCTATACAGGAGAGTTAGTATCATGTCTCATTGAGAGGAGGCACCCAGAGCAGGAAGCATGTAGTTAAACAGCACAGGAACATAAAGTAAAGCCACCACAGTCAGGTGGGATCCGCAAGTGGAGAAGGCTTTCCACCGACCACTTTGGGACTGTATTTTGAAGAGGAGGAAAGTAATAATGTAGAGGTAGGAGAGGACTGTGATGATAAAAGGGCCAATTGCAATGCAGCTAGTCACAGTATTGAGGAGCATAAGGCTGAGTTGTGTGCTACCACAGGCCAGTTTTAACAATGGTTTGGTATCACAGACAAAGTGTTCAATGAGATTTGGTCCACAAAAGGGTAGATGAGCAGTCACTACTGCATGCATCAAGGCATGAAGAAAACCAGTTGACAGGGAAACTGCTGTCGTTAGGACGCAGACCTCTTTTCTCATGATAATGGTATAGTGCAAGGGGTTGCATATAGCAACATAGCGGTCATAGGCCATGACTCCAAGAAGAATAGCTTCACTACTGCCCAGGAAGTAGAAGAAAAACAGCTGGGCCATACAGCCATTGAATGAAATTGTTTGCAGTTCTGTCAGAAAACCAGAAAGCATCTTTGGTACTGTTGCTGAGGAATGGAAGATATCCAGGCAGGAAAGATTTCCAAGGAAAAAGTACATGGGGCTGTGAAGGTGTTGTTCATTTAAAACTACAATAACAATAGCTCCATTCCCAACTAAGGTGGCCAAATACAACATCAAAAAGATTGCAAAGAGTATGTTCTGAAGTTCCATGTCTTTGCTTAAGCCCAATAAGATGAATTGGCTCACCTTGGTTTGGTTCTTCATCACTAAAAAGGAAACAGAAAGTGACAAAAGGAGACAGAGATAACTGTTGAGTGTTAGGAAAGGCTCTGCCTGTCTCTGAAAACTAGATAGCCAGAAGAATACATCTGGCAAGACAAACATAATAAAACTTGACTAATAAGGTACAAGCCAGTAACAAAAGAGAGAGAAAAAGGAGGGGAAAAAACCCACACTTCCGACTATGGTAGAAAGAAGGAGATAAGGCATAGAAATGTGTGTATATAAGGGCCATTATTTTATTGATGTGAGAACATAAGACATCTACAATGGCAAAAGGTAAGCAGACACTGTTCATGTTTGTTAATCATAATAAACCTATCCAGTCCAGCACATAGTTATAGTATAATATTGTTTGTCACCTCTGGGAAAGATGCTTTCCTGAACACCTGGATACTTCCTTCCCTCTGAAATATACCTCTACATCTTAACTATGGAATCCCTGACTATATATCCCAGAATTGGATAAATCTTCCTTTTCTTTTTTATTCACAAAAACTACTATAAATTAATTTTCAGTGAAAAGGACCTTTCTGGGAAACTATTGTTGTTGTTGTTGAATGAATATACCTTAACTTAGTAATAAAGATACTGGAAGGAGAAACAAATTTGCACCCGAATGTCAAATTAATCCTATTTAGCCTTTTACTTTATCCGTGCACTAAGTATTCCTGTGCTGGGCAACTGGCATCTTACCTGCTTACCTGTAATGTTTGAAAAATCATTTTTGGTTAGTTTATTGCCACTGGGATGTAAGAGCAACATTTTTAACTTCAGACAATTATCCAAGTATTCAATAATGTTAGAAAGGTGAAGGGTATTTGTGCAAATATGTATTCAACTAATCAAAAATGCCACACACATGTCATGTATCACACATTAAATAATATCTTTTAATATTTACCATCTTGTCAAGAAATTATATATCTACCAAGTGTGAAATAATATACAGTTCATATAACATGCCGAAGTAGGCTAAAATAGGATTGGGTAATATATGCATTAATCCATTCTGAGTGCCCTCCTATTAAATGATCATGTTGTATGAACCTGACCAGATTTGTCCTTTTCTTTCTCTCATGGGCCTCATATGTTTTACAGATTGGGTCCTCCCACAAAACTACTTCTGTTAGGACCTTTATTAAATAACCTTATCCATTCCATAAATCCAAAAATGAGATTATAATTAATAACCAAATAAAAAAATTACTGACTAATATTTGAAACTAAAAGTACATAGATGGTATATAGGCAATCAGATAATAAGCAGTTCACAGTTTATGGGGAATGTAGCATAAATTATTTAAAGCTAGTATAGAAAGCAGTAAAATAAGGAACTCCAGTAATAATAAGTGAAAACTTCGCACATTATTCAGTTCAGAGAGAGAAAGACAAGGAGTTCAGGGAACGCTGCATTTGCTTCAATGGGAAAAAATATGAAAATGAGGGAAATATGGAAAGTGATATAGTTTTCAGCTGTAGTGGAATGCACAAAGAATAAAATGAAGACCCTTGCCACAACAAAGAACAGCAGAACTTTGAGGACTTCCTGCCACAGTAAAGGTGAAAGAAATTTGTAAATTATAGTGGGGACATCTTTGGAAAAGGTGCCACTTTGCTTGGGCATGGATGAAATACAAATCCTCTGAATAAAATGCCCACAGAATATTTCTGGTCAGGCAATTCATACCTTAAGGAAATCAACCAAGAAAGAAACATGATGATAAGTACAGTATAGCCTAACAGGCAGAAGAACAACTACATGTTTTTATATAAGATGCAAGAAATAAATCCCCACCATGGAATATATTCCCAATGATTTGTTATTTTTCATCACATACTTCATTTACCAAGCATTATTAGCTGTCATTGGGGAAAAGAAGAACTATCCAAGAAGGAGTGTGCTCCTATGGGGATAAATCTACTGAATTTAAGAATTGAAATGATTTGTTCCACCAATTACTACAGTTTATATCAATTTGTAATAGCCAAGGTTCATTTTCATGTATTTATTTATTTATTTAAGATTTTTTTTAAAAAAGAAGATAAAAGCTAATACAAATTAATGTAAAGTAAGAAAAAAAAAAGAAAAGGAAAAAAGGAAAAAAAAGAAAGAAATCAAAGCAAAAGCTAAAAGTGCAAGAAAGAAAAGAAAAATAGAAAAGAAAGAAAAAGGTTACAAAGAAGTAGCTTCCGATCTTCTTTACAGAAATTATAAGTACAATTATAAATTTACCTCATACTCTATGGTTACAACATAACACTATTCTTTCTGTAATCTATCCTGTCTAATCCTCAAAACCCTAATCCATAAATTCATTTCTTTTTTTCTGTTTCACACAAAAAAATCTATCAGGGATTTCCAGTCAGCAATAAAAGTAGATTTTGTCTTTTCTCGGATCAAAAATAATTTAGACATCTCAGCAAGTTCCATTACGTTCACCAACCATTCCTCCATTGTGGGTAATGCCAAATCTTTCCATACAATAATCTCGCTGCAGTTATCATGTACAAAAACAAAGTTCCATAACTTTTTTCCAACTATTTGTCCATCAATCACAAAAGAAAAACCTCTGGTCTCAATTATATATTAATCTTTAAAACCCTCTACATCAGGGTATGTATTTGAATCCAGAATTTTCTACCTTTTTACACATCCACCAAATATAATAAAATGTCCCTTTTTGTTGTTCACATTTCCAGCATAAATTTAAAGTGTCTTTATACATTCTAGACAATTTCTCTGGTAACATATACCATTGGTACATCATTTTATAAAAAAATCTCTTTAAGATTATATCATAGTGTAAATTTCAATCCTTTCAGCCATATATTTTCCCATTGTTTCATCTGTATATTATAACTGAAAATTTTATCCCACTTTATTACACATGCTTTCACTTCTTCTTCTTCTATTTCAAATTTCAATAACAGTTTATGCATTTTAATAATAACATTCATCATTTGTATACAATTCTGTTCCAAACTCAGTCTTACAATGTTCAAAACCATAAATTCTTTTGTCTACTTCAAATCCTTCTAATAATTGTAAATAAGAGAACCGTTGGCAACTATATCCCTCTGCCACCAGTTCTTCTCTTGATTTTATTTTATATTCCCCTTGACAAAGTTCTAGTAAATCACAAGAAGTTAGCCATTTGTGTTTGCCTATTATTTCTCATCTAGAAAATGCTTCTTGTGCTGAAAGCCACAAAAGTGTTTTCGGGGACAACCTGGATGTGTATCTATTCCATATTCTCACTATGGTGCATCTAACATAATGATTTTTAAAATCCTCATTAATGTTGACTTTATCATACCATAAATATCCATGCCACCCAAATCTCAGGTCACATCCTTCTAGCTCCAAAAACTTTCTATTTCTCAGCCACACCCACTCTTTCATCCAAAACCAAACAGCAAGCTGCAAAACACACTTTCAAATACAATTTCCAGTCCTCCTCTTTCTTTTCCATCTTGTAACACCTTATATTTAACTTGTGTTTTTTCCCTCTGCCCCACAAATTCAGAAGTAACCTTCTGCCACTGTTTAAATGGTGCATCAGTTGTCAAGAACAAGTATTGCCTGAAACAAAAACATCATTTTAGACAAGATACTCATGTTTATCACAGAAATTCTCCCTAGCAATAACAGTTGTAATTTCTCCCATCTTAACATATCCCTTTTTTTTTTACTTCATTCCATGTCTTAACTCTTCCATAGTTATTTTGAAATAACATACAATTCATATTTATACCCAGATATTTTACCTTCTTCTCAATCATAAAACCCATTTTATTCATCATTCCTTTTAGATCTTCTATTTCATGTTTTTTGTTAACATCTTCATCTTTTCTTTATTAATCTTGAAACCTGGTAATGCACCAAACTCTTTTAATTTGCCCATTAATATTTCAATTCCCTTTAAAGGATCTTCCAGAACCAACACCAAGTCATCTGCAAAAGTACTTAACTTATACATTTCTCCAAACTCTTTTAATTTGCCCATTAATATTTCAATTCCCTTTAAAGGATCTTCCAGAACCAACACCAAGTCATCTGCAAAAGTACTTAACTTATACATTTCTTCTTCAATCTTTACTCCCCAAATCCTCTTATTTTATCTTATATCTATATTCTCCTCTCAAATAATGGAATAGTGGAATAGCCTGCTAAAATAGAAGTGGAACCACTACAAAAACCTTGTTCTTTGGGATTTTTTTCCTCCTAAAAACCTTTATAACCGTACATTATAACATCCCTCATGTTGCTTGAGGCTTCTAACAATTCTACTACAGGAATTTTATGAGTTTTTGTGTGTTTGTTGTTTTGTGGTAGTAAGCTATTAAAGATGTTCTATCTTCTACAGTCTTCTTATTTATATCACAAAATTTTCTGATTGGGTAACACTTGGCTCTGTACTGGAAACTAAGTTGAAAAAAGGCATAAAATTATAGCTATGGTTCTAAAGTTAAATATTAACCAACAATTTTATGTTTCCTTTTAAGGAATTCACACTGTTCTATTCGTTGTGTTTTGTACTATTTAGAGAGTTTATTACTGACATTTTTCCAAAGATCTTCATTTTTGTGTCCCATAAATTTAAATCAAAACTAAATAGCCACCAAAAACCACTACAGACTGCCACAGTCAAATGGGGCTTACAATTTCAGTTCAGTTGTCTCTTTAAGATGTTCCTTGATTTTTTTCAAAGGAACTTGAGAATATCCATAAAAATTCAGTGTAAAAGAATATACTGCATTACATGTAGGAAAGCATATTTAGACACTAAATTGAATGCTAGGGCAGAATGATACTGTTTCTTGTTTTAGATTTATCATGGTTGGAATAAGAACGATTTTACTTTGAAATATGAGTTAAACATCACATTTTGAAATGGGAGAATATCAAATAGTACACAGAGGGCCTTTTTCTGTTACATGCTAGGTAACATTTTCATCAAAGTCATGCCTGTTTGATTTTCATGAATTAAAACAGAAACAAGAATAACCAGTATAATCCACAAGAGAGAAATATTTAAATCTCTGCCATGGAAATAAATGGCCAATAAAACATCTGTTAAATTGAAAGTGACTTGAGGGTTTCCTCCCTAACTGAGTATATGAGAAAATATCTTGCATTAAATGTCTTGCAATTTTGTTCGTATAACTTTAATAGGAGAACTGAAAATTCATTTCAAACATTTTATAGACACAAACATACATAGGTACACATGTAGACACACACACATATACACAGAGAGGGAGAGGGAGAGGGAGAGGGAGAGGGAGAGGGAGAGATCCATCATTTCCTTTCAAC